ATTTTTTATTATATTATTTATTTATCATAGAGCCAATTTATACTTTTCCAGCTCCTACGGGCCCGATGATTGCAACCAACCGCCCCGGTCTAACGGTTAAATTAATGTTATTTAATGAGTTATCGGGTTGATTGAGTACCCATTTAGCYGAGGCGTTTGAAACGTCGATTCCAAAATTACCCAATCGATCAATACCTTCTTCATTTTTATTTATATTTGTCGCAAAATGGTCACTATTAAAATTTAACATTTCATTGCTATTCTTCGATGTAACTTCTGGTTGTAACGACAATGGTGTATCATGCTTGCGATTTTCGTGTTGTARTAGAAATGTCTTACAGTATTACAAAAATAATGATAATTTATTAATTATTTGTAATATTATTTTTAGAACTTAAGACTATTATTACTATACATACCTGAATACGTTTAATAGATATTAGCATCTCCGCTAACGTTAAAATGCCTTGGGGGAAAAATACTGTCATTGTCGTCAATATCTTTAAATATGAAAGTATAACAAAAACCTAAAAATTMAGTAAGAAACATAAAACTAAATAATACTTATATAATACATATAGATATAATATTCTTTTAACTAATATAGAATCAATTTTAACAAATGTTAAAATATRTTTAAAYTTATCTTTACTTTTTGAGTATTTATGAAGTTTCCTAATAATACGTATGACAAAATACTTATRAAAAACGCAATCCTTAAATGAAATATTACAAAAGATTGCAAAAATACTCTGATGTATAAGACTCCTCTGATCTGTTCAAGTTCCATCCTATAACAATATAAATATAAGTATTACAAACCTTACCATTACATGTTAGTATAAATCCAAGACACGTACTTTCTTGCAAATTGTACAAGCACCGCAAAAGGTTTTTCCCAAGTGTACATTTTTATCACTTGTATGCCTGATATTATTTCGTTCATCAACCTTACTCTTTCGTCAGTCCTAGGGGCTGTTCTTGATCGATATTTTGACGTTTTCTTTCCCAACCATCCTTAAATTGAAACTTTTGCTTACTTAAGTACTTCTTTTTATATCTATATGCCTTGTTTTAACTCATGAGTAACATCCATGATAATAGTATTCATACATACCTTGTAATGGTATAAATACAAGAAATATAGCCACTCCAACTAAAGATGATACGCCAAGTTCTTGCCACAAAAAATATGTGACCACAATTGATTGCAGAGGGCCAACCCATAARAAGTGTATAAATATGAACGCTATATCAAATCGATTTACATCATTCGACAACAAGTTTACCACTTGACCGACTGTGGTTTCACCTAAAGATGTTTGACTTAATCGCAATGCCTAATTTAAAGACAGCAAAAATAATGGAATTTATACATGTATATTGTATATATTTTTCGTAGACAACAGGAAACAGATGGAACAGGAATTTTTATGTCCTGAAAAAATGCCTGTTTTTAATACTATATAATTCATGCAAAATTTATCCATGCCGATTTTTAGTTATCTATCAAGTGTTTTTTTAAAGAAACTATTATATTAGATTCTCAAAAATTATAGAAAAACAAATTAAATTTATTTTTTGAAATATCATTATCTATGAAAAATATTTTACTTCATCTTCTAGAAAATCTTTTTTTTCGTTTAAACCGACACGACAGCAGAAAAGGATCTTTGTGAACAATAATATAAAAAACCCGTTCTTTATCCAAACCTTTTTTGTTATTTTTTAATTTAAATTTGCTTAATATACATATTTTTTTAATATATTATATTTTATAGGTTTGTTTTTAACGATTTATCATTATTATGTAAGACCTGTTATTCCATGCATCTATATATTTAATTTTTATTACAWATAAACAATGGCTACGTGTTTACTGACTATGCATTATAATATTATCATCAAATTAATGAGTTTATAGTTTATATCTATACTTGGAAATATAATATATTTATATTCATTTAATAATTTTCATTTTTTTATTTACCTACATAATATATTTTTCGTTTTAATATTTAATGATCGTATACCTTTTTATATATTGCTGAACAGCAGGCCACTCGAATCTTCATTCCTAGGTGTCCCATTTCCATTTGTGAATAATGAAACAATATTATATTAAGTAACATGTTTAACAATAGACCTGACGCATAATAATATGCATGATTCAAGTCCTTGGCGTCCGGCTTTTCAGGGTTGAAATATTCTAATAATCCACCAATTAGTATAGGTAGAGACATTCTAAAAAATAATATTCACATAGACATTAAGATACCTATTTTTTATTCACCTATACAAAAACAATTTTTTTTCATTCTAGATATTAAGCAACATTATAAATTATAGTACAATAACTATTAATTTTGAAAACAACATCTTGTGGTTAGTTAARTTTTCCCACTGTAATTTATAATCGTTCTTTAATAACTAATATACCTATATATACCTCAACACAATTTCAACAAATGCTTGTATTAATCCATAAAACATAAGCTTAGCGCCAAACATTCGAACCAATACCCTTAGCAAACTAGGGTCTCCATTATTTTTGTTTGCATTAACTATATCGATTTTCCACCTCCTTATATAAGAACAAAAATTGATTTAAAGTAATTATTTAAAATATAATCTTTACATTTTAACAAWTATACCTCTGTAATTCAATTCCTAATAATGATGATCGATCATTATTTAAAGGTACATATAAATCATTGAATTCTAAATCCCTCTTTCGCCCAATTTTAAAAAGGTCAAAAATCCAGCTGAAACAAAACAAAAAATTATAATCGTAATGAAGTTATATGATATTAACTATATTTCTATGCGTGTGAATTAAGAAAATATAAATAAAACTTAACGGAATTAAGCTACTAAAAAACAATGTTCTAAATCATTATATTTATTTATAATATCTATAAAGACATTAACAGTTTGAATAAAGATAAATGGAGGTTATGTTATGTATATAATGTATACTGAAATCATTAGAGACAAGTAAGTAATGATATTGTTATTATTATAGCCTATGATTCATAGGAATAAATAAAATTCTGTCAAACATGAGTTATATGTTATAAGATACAAATAATAATATATTTTGATACAAAACATCCTTAAAATATAATTTTAATATTTTTAAATTATTATCTATAAAYTATTATATTCAAATGTATCTACTATCTATCTAATAATTCTAATAAATKTTATATAACAATTTACCTAAACGTGAAGATTTCAAAGATGTTTGCTCTGGCTCGTGGATTTGGAGGCCGTTGTTCTTTATTACCAGCATCCATTTTCGATCTAAAATAACAAATTAGAAAACAACAATTTAATTTAGTGCGCATTATCAAAATTAAAATGCGTTAACCATTGAAAGTTGAAATATATTTGTCAAGTAATATACATTTATTGATAAAAACAT